GAGAGAGATGGAAACATCGATGAGAGAGAACATTGATTGGCCGCCTCCTGCATGCCCCCAACTGGTGACCAGGCCCACAACCTGGGCACGTGCCCTGACCAGGAATTGATCTGATGACCTCTTGGTGCATGGGTCAATGCTCAGCCACTGAGCCACACCAGCCTGGCCTGGATTTTTTTCTTGATACTTTTTTTTTTTTTTATCCTCACCCGAGGGCATTTTTCCATTTTTTGTTCAAGTAGAGTGGGAGGGAGAGAGAGAAAGAGAGAAAGAGAGAGAAACATCGACGTGAAAGGAACACATCGAGTGGCTGCCACCCGCACGACCGACCAGGGCCGGGGACAAACTGCAACCGAGGTACGTGCCCTTAGCGGGAACCGAACCCGGGTCTCTCTGACCGCAGGCCGACGCTCTAACCGCTGAGCCAAACCGGCCAGGGCTTGATACTTTTTTTTTTTTTAATTAATTTTTCTTTATTGATTTCAGAGAGAGGGAGGGAGAGAGATAAAGACACTGATGAGAGATAACATCGATTGGCGCCTCCTTGCATGCCCCACACTGGGGATCAGGTCCACAAACTGGACCAGAGTCCTGGGTTTGGTTTCCGCTAGGGGCACGTACCAAAAAAAAAAGAGAGAGAAAATTATAAAGATAGATGGATGTCATTTTCTTTTTTTAATAAATTTTCTTCATTGATTTTAGAGAGAGGGAGCGAGACAGAGACATCGATGATAGAGAACATCAATTGGCTGCCTCCTGACCCACAACCTGGGTATGTGCCCTGACCAGGAATTGAACCAGTGACCTCTTGGTGCATGGGTCAACGCTCAACCACTGAGCCACATCGGCCGGGCAAGATGGATGTCATTTTCAATGTTTGCTTCTTGAATTGCGTGGTAAACTTGCCACCTAACATAATATAATAATAACAGTAGGCCATACTTGGACCAGTGGTGAGAATATATTAGGAACCAAGGATTACAATTAATCAATTCTGTACATCGGATGTCCTGTTCCAATAAATAAAAATAAAGTCTGTCCTCTCAGCTTGACCCTAGTTCTGCTTATTTTTGCACTTCCTCCCACAGCGATGCTGAGGGGTCATGTAACCTTGCTCTTGGCAATCGGGGTTACTAGCACAAGGCTGGGCAGGAAGTGAACTGGGGGATGAAGCCATATCTGCTATAACACTGTTCGCGATAGGTCCTTTGTGGTAAGGGTTTCCAAGAACCAGCAGAGCAGTTGAGGGAGCTGAGCAACATTTACAAGAAATGGGCTTTTGCCCCACCCCTTCCACCCCTCCCCTCGCTCTCTTTCTCCTCCCTGCTTCCTCTCCCCTCCCCCTCCAACCCAAGTGAAGGGGAGTTCACAGGAGCCAGTAAGGAATATTTCCAGGGAACAGAACCGCTTACCTGGCTCTCTGGAGTCTGGGGAAGACCTGCCCTGACCTCCAGACCCTGGGCCCTGAGGAAACTTGGCATGACTAATCTGCACAAATATGTATAAAGAGGCAGATTAGCAGAGTGATAACAAGCATGGATGGCCTGGGTCCAAATTCTGACCTGGCCACTTCTTTGGTATGTGACCTTTGACATGGGAATTAACTGCTCTGCATCTCAGTCTTTCCCATCTGTAAAATGGGGATAAATCATAGTATCTACCTCATGGAGATTTGTTGTTGTAAGATTAAGTAAATTAATACGTGCAAAGCTGGGCACATGGTAGGTACTGGGTGAGTGTTAGCTATTTTCACTAAGTGTTAAGAAAGATGCAGATGAATCAAAGAGACCATGGTCTAGTGCAGGAGTTGGCAATTCTTTTTCTGTGAAGGGCAGCATAGTAAATATTGTTGGTCACAACTGCTCAAGTCTGCCACTGCAGCCCTAAGGGAGCCACAAGCACCTCCCAACTGGATGAACTTCGGTTCTGAACATTGATGTTTGAATTTTGTATAATCTTTATGTTACAAAATAATATTCTTCATTTGAACTTTTCCTACCATTTCAAAATGTAAAGCCCAGCCCTGGCTAGTTTGGCTCAGTGATTAGAGTGTTGGCCCTCGGACCAATGAGTCACAGGTTTGATTCCTATCAAGGGCACGTACCTTGGTTGCAGTTTGTCCCTGGCCCTGGTTGGGTCGTGCATGCGGGAGGCAACCAGTTGGTGTGTCCCTTTCACATTGATGTTTCTCTCTCCCTCCCTCTCTCTCTCTCTCCCTCCCTCACACTCTATCTGAAGATAAATGGAAAAACATCCTCAGGTGAGGATAAAAAGAAAATGTAAAACCCAGTCTTAGCAGGCCAAACAAAACCAGGTGCTGTGCCAGATGTGGTCAGCAGGCCATACTGTGCTGGTCTCTGATCTAATGGGGGAAAACATCAGCCCCTGTTTTCTCTGCTCTAGCTGCATGTAGTTTATAGGTGAACACACTGAGCTCATCCTTCAAAGTCCAGTTGAAATGTTGCCTCCTCTTTGAAGCCTTCCCAGATCACCTCAGCCAAGGAGGCACTATCTCCTGCCTCTTCGTGATAAGCACTAATTTGTTCATTACTTTTTTTTTTTTTTTATCCTCACCCGAGGACATTTTTCCATTTTTTGTTCAGATAGAGCAGGAGGGAGAGAGAGGAAGAGAGAGAGAGAGAGAAACATCGATGTTAAGGGACACATCGAGTGGCTGCCACCCGCACGACCAACCAGGGCCGGGGACAAACTGCAACCGAGGTACGTGCCCTTAGTGGGAACCGAACCCGGGTCTTTCTGTACCGCAGGCCGACGCTCCAACCGCTGAGCCAAACCGGCCAGGGCTGTTCATTACTTTTTAAATTTTATTATGAGGCCCTGGCCAAGGAAGCTTAATTGGTTAGAGCATCATCCTGAATATGCCAAGGTTGCAGGCTCAATCCCCGGTCAGGGCACTTAAAGAATCAACCAATGGCCCTGGCTGGTTTAGGTCAGTGGTTAGAGCATCAGCCAGAGGACACTTGTCTTCAAGTTCACTTCCCAGTCAAGGGCATATGCCTGGGTTGCAGGTTTAATCCCCGGCCCCAGCAGGGTTGTGTGGGAGGCAACCAATCTATGTGTGTCTCTCACATCAATGTCTCTCTCTCTCTCTCTCTCTCTCTCTCTCTCCCCCGCCCTCGCTCCCTCCCACTCTATCTAAAAAAAGAAGAAGAAGAATGCAGGGTAACCCTGGCTGGTGTAGCTCAGTTGGTTGGGCATTATCCTGTGCACCAAAATGTTGCTGGTTCGATTTCTGGTCAGGGCACATGCTCAGGTTGTGGACTTGTTCCCTGGTAGGGGACATGTAGGAGGCAGCCAATAGACTGTTCTCTCTCACATCAGTGTTTCTCTCTCCCTCTCCCTTCCTCCCTTCCTCTCCCTTTAAAAATCAATTTTTTTTAAAAAAGAATAATGCAAGGTAGGGGGAGGTAGAAGAGGATAAAGGGAGGATAAATGATGATGAAAGGAGACTTGACTTGGGGTGGTGAATGCACAATTCAATATAGATGATGTATTATAGAATTGTACATGTGAAATCTACATGATTTTATTAACCAACGTCACCCCAATAAACTCAACAAACATTTTAAAAAATGAGAATGATGCACACACCTTAGTGTTTACCACCTGGATTATGAGTTGAAAGGCCCTGTGCAGATAACCCCCACCACCCCCAAATCACAACCTCCCTTCCTCCTCCCCAGAAGTAATAACCACTATCCTGACTCTGGGACTTCATTGCCCTGTACGTCTTAGTATTTTTACTGCATATATATCTGCATCCATAGCAGGAGATAGTATTAACTCAATCTTCTCATTATTTAACAAGAACCTTCCTAATAATCAAATCTAGGAGTATTTCTATTTAGAGATTACTCTCAGAGGGTGTGGCAGCTTGCCCAAGGCATCCAGGTAGGGGATGGTGGTGGGATTCAGAGACCAAGGAGGATCTGTTAGGCAATGTTCCCAAACACTGCTCCCTCTATAACCATGTGGCCACACAGTCATGTTAGTTATCTGACTCCTGTCCCACACAAGATTTTAAACTACTCATGAAAAGAGACTAAAATGTGATCTTTCCCCCTTTCTATGCAACCCCTGGTGTCTTGCACCCAATAGAAGCACGGTGCGTATTTCTTCAGAGACCCCTAGTAGTCTCAATAGCGGGTGTGGAAACTGCCAGGAAATCAAGGGTGGGGCTTTGCTAGATTTCGTTACAAGTTTGGAGCAATTTTTAATTGTTCACGTGTCAACTTTACTGGAAAGGATGAGGCATCAGCCCTCATGTTCCAAGGGGTTGGGAGTGTGTGGCGGGGGCGGGGGGGGGGGGTTGCTGGGGCAGGGAAAAGGGGAACTCAGAAAATCAGCCCCAGAACCAAGAAATCCTTCCTTCCTCTCCCGCAGCAGTCACATGCACAGAGCTAGGGTTTGGGATCTAGTCCAAGCTTAAGGGTAGGCGACAAGGAGTGATGGGTATTGCAGCCTGGACACTCAAGTATCTTGACAAGACGGCATCCTGGCCAGTGTCCAGAGGGTGTGTGCACACACCAAGGGGAGAGGACAAGACGACCCACAGGGAAGAGAGAATGTTATTAGTGCTGCTGGTACTCATAAACAAGAAACCAACCTTTACTAGTACTTAATATGCAAATTGCATATGCTTTCAGTGTATCAGGCTGTATTCAGGCCACAACCACTGAGCAGACTCATCTACCATCCACTTTAAACTAAATAAGAATGAACAAGGGACTGTGTGGTTCAGTGGGTTGGAGCGTGGTCCCATACACCAAAAAGTCTCAGGTTCGATTCCTGGTCAGGGTACATACCTGTATTTTGGGTTCAAGCCCCAGGCAGGGCACGAATTGCTGGGGTGGGGGTGGGAGTGGGACAGCCAATCAATGTTTTTCTCTCTCTCCCTCTCTTATAAAACCAATAAGCATATCCTCAGGTGAGGATAAAAAAAAAAACAAAAAAACAAAAACAAAAACAAGGGGCTTAAACAAATTCCTGCAAAGAAATAACATACTAAAAATACTGATTATCCCAACCAGGGACAATAGAACAGAACAGAACATTTTACCTACTCCGTTCATAAACCTGTTGTCAAGCACATTGGAGGGGAAAACCCTGCTTGTCAAAAAGCACATTTCCACTTATCCACTATTGTTTATGACGAAACTCCACACTAAATAGGAAGGAAACTCGAATCAGTAAATGGAGAGTAATACAAGTATAGTTTTCCCAATAACTGTAATATGTGCCAAGGGTACATGCTCCAAGTTTTACTGGTGGAAGACAACTGAAAAAAGCAACTGCTTAATAGGGCTGTTTGGAAGCTCAGCCCCGCTCCACAGAACCCTGCAATGATGGAAATACCCTGTACTCCCAGGGCCATAGCCACAGGCAGCTACTTCATGAAATTGACTAGAGCAACTGGAAATAGCCACACGTGCTGTATTAGGGAAGCTCTAGAATTTGCATTAGGAACGGAGACTGGGGCTTCATTGAGCCCTTCAAGCCAAACCTTATCCACAGGATTGCCTCCTCCACCTTTGGCCATACATTCATTTCAGAAAAGTGACTCCCAGGAGTCCTGCTGAAGGGACCTGATTTAGGCTGGAATTTTTCCTTTTCCTCCTGGGGTAGGATTTTGGCACTTATCAAGTAGCCGATAAATGCACATTAACGTGTCTACACAGACAACACTCAGAAGCCATACGTTAAGATAAAAGGTTTTTATTCAAAAAACGCCAAGTATAAAAAAAAAAAAAATAAGATCTCTTTTATTCCCCTGTACAGTATTTCACTCATAAAACCAGCAGGCTACATGCTGCTCAAAACAGCCCCAGAGAGGATCCGGAAGGCACACCATCCAGAACTGGTTTTCATATATCTATCCTATATACACAAGTCAGCGACGCCCCTCCCCCATCACCCGCAGAACCCACCCCACTGGGGCAAGCAGGCGGGAGGGGCTGCGGCAGGGGGATCTGCAGCAGCTGTTCCGCCTGAGTCCCATCACCCTAAGAACAGAGCAAGTGTTGTAGCCCTCCCCCAAAAGGTCCCCAAGTCAGAGGAGGAAAAGGAAGAAAGAAAACTATGGCGGCAGCCGTGGAAGCGTAGAGCTGGAAGGGAACCAAATAAATAAATAAATAAATACATAATGTTGACCTCCAGGTTAGAATGCGCACCTTTCAAAACAAACAAAAAAAAAACAGGTAAAATAACTTAAAGGCAAAATTTTAAAAAATTAGATCAACTACAATCCTTTTGTACACTATCATGCCAACTGTACACACATTTACAGTTTTTCTATTGATTTGCATTGTTTGTGCATTTTGTGTGTGTGAGGTCTTGGCTTTGAAACAGTTAAGTAAGAACCAAAAAGGAAGACCAGAAAAAGGGCAGGTGGCTCAGCGTTTGGCCCTGTAGCCTCTTCCATGGCACCTTTCATATGAAGGACGGGGGAGGGGGGTAGGAGAGAAAAATAGGGACCCAAACCCAGGCAGATTTTTGGAGAAGCAGCAGGTAAAAGAGGCAAGTTCAAGTATTTCTCCCAGCACAGCCGGAGTCCCCACAGAAGGCACTCAGAAGAGTCGGAAGAGGTGACAGGGACTTAAAATGGTGCTAGTCCTATCCCACCCCAACCCGTTTACCCCCAACCCGACCCATCGCGGCATTCAGCAGAACTCGTGAAGGGAACAGTTCCATGGCAGGGTTCTGACCCACTCCCACCCCCCAAACCCAGGATTTTGCAGAGTCCAGCAATGCTGGCCGGACACCTACGAGAAGGAGAGAGCATCTACGAGGAATTGAGGCCTAGGACGCCAGGAGAGGAGTTTCTTCCCCCTGTCGGAGGCATCCTCCAGGGGCCTGGGGTCTGGAATGAGTTGTAAATGTTGTTCCTGTATCAAGCACTGTCCTGCTTGGTGAAAAGTATCACTGGTACAGAAGCTTCCCCTCCCTGGAGCATCTGACAGGAGGGGAGGACCTGCTGGAAAAGCTGCTATTTGCTGGGCCCTGGTGACAGGCTGTGGAGATGGATCTCAGCAGTTTCCTGGGGCAGGAGGACATCCTGCATCCATGGATGATTCTGGATTTCTTCAAAGGATGGCCGATCTGATGGTCTCAGGGCCAAGCACCATCTAATGAGATGCTGACACTCTGCAAAAAACAAGAAAGGTTATGAATGACTCAACTTGTTTTTGTAATGCAAAGGCCTTCCCAATTTGCTTCCCAGGGGCCCACAAATCTGGGGTCCAACAGAGACCACATACTTTCTAGAACTCATATTCTTCAGTGGGAATGCATTAACACCTGTATCCAACAGTCTAGTTTCAGCTAAAAAAACCCAGCACCCATCTTAAATCTGTGGTTTTAAGCTTCAATAGCTAGGGCCTTTCCCACGACACCCACTCACCAGAAATAGGAAGGATGATGACAAGGGATTTTGATGAGACATCAGTGAGCATGAGGTGATTCAATTCACCTACCAACTTACAAATATAAACACCACCCACAATGAGGTCACTGGAACCGCAATATTTAGAGCCTGCCTTAATTTAAGAGAGAAGGCTCGACTTTTTACTCCCTGGCAAAACAGCCAGGCATTGAGGGATCAGGATGACTCTGTTGGTACTTTAAAAAACCCTTCAGTGAAACTAGATGGTCTTTTCTTAATATTCTCACACTTGCCCTTCCTCTGACCTCCCAAGGAATGCTCGAATGCAAACCATTCATTTCCTGGGGGTTAGCTCTCGAGGGTGAATCACTGGCCTAGCATTCTGCTAAGCCAAAGGTTGGTGGCATCATCTGGAGAGTGAAGCTCTCCAGAATTCAAAGACTGTTCTTGCTTCTCCTCAACAAGGGGTTTCCCAGAAGTTACCTGAAGAGACCCTCTGCCTGAAGAAAACTTGGCCCCTGATGATTTCCTCATCGTGCTCAAAAGGAATATCTCCACAGACCATATCATACAGCAGGATCCCCAGAGACCAGACAGCCGCCGACCTGCCGTGGTAGCGATGGTAGCGGATCCACTCTGGAGGACTATACACTCGGGTCCCTGTGAGCCAGGGGAACAGGAAGGAAATACGCGTTTAGCAAAAATAAAACACAAAGCAACTGAGTGGTATGCTGAGTAATTCTTTAAAACAAAAGATACCACCCCCCTTCTCTCAGGAGCTGGGTGAACGCCACACTCCCCCTAAGCTAAAAGAGTGGATAAGCAGCTTATGGCCTCTCTCCAACCCAAAGCATCACCCACCTCTCTCCTGGCCGAGACCATAAACTGAAATTCTTTACAAACTGCTCCAAGAAACAAACAGAGCTGGCCGCAGACCCAAAGCCTGAGGCCTGTATGTGGCTGAACCACCAACAAGGGGACGAAGGGATGAACGTCTGAACAATCAAGGGAGGTATCCCAGACTAACGTTAAACTGCATCAAAGGTTGCCTAGGAGCCAGGGTGAGATTCTTATCTCAGATAAGATGTAGGCGAGGGCACTTGCACAATATCCTAAGTCAGGGTGCCTTTTGGGATGCCTTCCTCCCCACCCTATGAGTGCAGGGGCAGACACTCACACCCTTTCCTACCCACACTGGAAAAGGTAGACAGAGCTGTAGAGCTGGTTTCAGACCACGTGATTCCTGTTTACAAACTTTGGGTTGTAAAAAAAAGTGGGGGCCATCCCTCTGGTGCTCACCAGGGGGCAGCAAAGACTCCAAAGAAAAAAAACATGGGAGGATCCGGCCAGCCATTAACTGTTAAATACAAAAAAATGCAGCCCAACCCAGCGTCCTCCAAGGGCAAATAAACACAAACCACAAGCCCCAGTCACAAGTTTTGAAAGGCTGTCGTTTGTTAGGTTAAGCCACTCAGATGACGACCCACCCTACTTTGCTTTGATCTCAAGCTCTCCATTCCATCTTTTCTTAAAGAACCCGCTCCAAGCCCCTCCCTAGGATAGGTTTTCATCCTCTCTTCGGAGACACCCAACTAATTTTCAAACCAGCAAGAGATCTTATTTCACAACATTCATTCCTGATTCCCTCACCGCACAACACCGAAAAAAATAAATCAACAAAATGAATTATTTAGTGTTAACTACTGTTTCTATTCCTTACCCGTCCCTACATCAAAAGGGAGGAAAAACTGCAGCTCTAAAAACTACCTTACAGAAGACTAAACTCTTATAAAACAAAACAAAAATTACAAAACCGGCATCAATTTTCATCTCTCCTGCTCTCTCCTCCCTCTCCCCCCTCCCAACCTTTTACTGGCGGGGAAACTGGGTCAGACTTCAGAAATCTGGGCTACGGCCGGTTGCCCACAACCTCTTATTCATCGGGAAAGCTTGGAACCCACTGAATTCCACTTAAAAAAATAAAATCATGCCAGAAACATTACAGGTTCAGCTGGCTTGAAATCCCCGGCTTTACTACGCTGGGAAGCTCTCTTCACCGCACCCCTGCTATCATGGAGCCAGGCGGCCCATGACCTTTACAAAGGGCCAGAGGGAAGCTGGCCGCAGGCCTCCAGGCCAGGCCGAGTCACCTGGGCAGCTCCCTCCCGGCAGCTCCCTCCCGAGCCTGGCTCACGCTCACCATCAAAGTCCGTGTAAACGGTGTCCTTGAGCAGCGCCCCCGACCCGAAGTCGATGAGCTTAAGTTCGCCCCGATTGAGGTCGATGAGGATGTTCTCGTCCTTGATGTCGCGGTGGAGCACCCCGCAGTTGTGGCAGTGCCGCACGGCCTCCAGCACCTGCCAGAAGAAGCTGCGGGCCAGCTCCTCCTGCAGGGCCCCCCTTTCCGTGATAAAGTCGAAGAGGTCTTGCACCGGCTCCGGCCTTTCCAGGATCAGGACGAAACTGTCGGGCCTCTCGAACCAGTCCAGGAGCCTAATGACGCCGGAGAAGCCCGAGCTCACCTTCTTCAGCAGGACCACTTCCATGGGCACTCGGGTTCCATTGGGCTGCGGGGAAGAGGAGGCAGCGTTAGGGCGGGAGTCAGAGGGCATCCCTCACCCCACCCATCCTGGGGGTCGCTCCCTCCTGGGCACACTCACCAGCTCTCCCCAGTCGGAAATCCGGTCCTTCTCCACGTGCTTGATGGCCACCTGGAAATCACCCCAGGAGAGCCGACGTTAGATTTCCTCGCTGGGGTCAAAACACAGCCGTGTGCCCCCCGCCCGGCGCGCCCTCCCCACAGCGGGGCGCCCACTAACCGGCAAGTTGTCGGCGACACGGATGCCTGAGTAGACCGAGCCGAATCCGCCGCTGCCCAGTAGCGGGCCCACCTGGTATTGCGACTCCAGGGGCTCCTTCTCCTTGCCTAGTAAAGAGGGAGACACAGGGGACTTAGTGCCGGCCCGCGAGACCCCAGCTCCCACCCTGGGGGTCCAGCCTCCTCCCCATCCCCGGGTTAGGGGGGCGCTCACCAGGCGCCAGCTTGGTGGCGTGCAGGTCGTTGCAGGGCGCGGCGCGCAGGTGGGCAAGCGAGTTGATTTTGGACAAGAGCATCCCAACCTCCAGGGTGTCGGCGTAGGGGCTGTGTCTGGAGTAGCCGCAGCAGGAGCTGGGGCTGGGCTGTGTCTACGGCTGGGGCTGAGGCTGCGGGTGGCGATGCGGCTGTGGCTGCGGCTGGCGCGGAAGGCCGAGGGCGAGTCGGAGGACAACTGGGGGCGCTGCCGGGGCTGGCGGCTGGTGGACTCACCGGCGGAGTCAGGCAGCGACGTGGGTGACGGGGTGGGCGGCTCGTGGGACTCGTGTGGCAGGGCCGCGGCACAGGGGACTTGTAGCTGCTGCTGCTGCTGCTGCTGCTGGTCCCGCCGCCTCTGCCGCCAAGTCCTCTCGGGCCTTCGCCACCGCGGCCGCTGCAGCAGACGCCCGGCTCGCCCAGCCCGAGCCGCCAGGAGTAAAGGGGCGGAGCGCGCCTGCGGGGGGGCGCGCTGGCGGGCGGGGACGGGGCGGGGCCTCTCTAGGAGGCCTAGGCCGGGAGACAGACTGCCAGGCTGACGGAGGGAGAAGAGGGGGTAGGGAAGCCGCGGGCCAGGGCGACTCCCCCTGGTCCCCACCCCGCGCGCCCGGTCGCCGCGCCCCGGCCCCGCCCCCGCCGGCGCATCTCCAGCCAACCAGAAGCTGACTGATCTGCATAACGCGGCGCGCCCCGCCCTGCTCCCGCGGTCAGAATGGTCTCTACGCCGCCACGACGTGGCGGGAAGGAAAAGGCGCCAAAATGGAGGGGGAGGGGCGCGGGGCGTGAGAGGAGGCGGGAGCTGGGTGTCGAGCCGCGAGGGAGGAAGGATGGGGAGGGGCGTATCGATTCAAACCCAAACAATAACAAAGCCTTCAAAGGCCGCCCGAGGCCGGCTCTGCGGCTCTTTCTCGGAGGTTTTTAGGTCAAGGGCTCGAGCCGGAGCATAACAAGTTGCGCAGAGACGTCGGCGTCGGTGGGGCGGGCGGGAGGCCCGGCGGCCGGCGCGGCGGGGTGTGAGGACTCCGTGTGTGGGGATGCCGACGAGGGTGGTCTTTCTGTGTGACTCAGACCGAGACCTCCGAGCCGGCCTGGGCGGGGTGACGGCGCGCTGTGGCTCGGTGGGGTCCTCGCGGGTGGGTGTGATGGGGGCGCGCGGGGGGAGCCGGATTTGAAAGATGTGAGTCACGGCGTCTTGGCAGAGGGTGGCGGTGGCACCGGCTGGGGTACCAGGGGGAGAGCCCAGGGCGGAGGGGCCAGGTCGGGAATGGCTCAGCCAGTGAGGAACGCGCCCCCAGCTTCTCCAGATTTTATTTTTAAAAGTGCGGGAAGGAACCCTGATTCCCGAGAACTGGTGTGTGTCAGAGGACCCGGGAAAGAGGAAATCACGAAGCAAATGTCAGGACTGTGATGCCAGTTGCTGTCTCAGCCCCGGTGAGGGCGGGAGAGAGGAAAATTCCTCATCCAAATCGCGGGTGGAGGCTGCGCTCCAGCTCGTCCGTTTTCACGTTGTAGTCACCTTGTCATCAGCCTGTTATTACAGTCGGACAATACCAGCAATTACTGGCCGCCCCGTCCTGTCTCGAAGGAAATCCCCCTCTCCCTGCGCCCCAGGAAAACAACACGAAAACCGGCCAATGCGACTTTCATCCTTTGTTCTTTTAAACTTCGCATGGAGTTGATAACGACGTGTGAAATGAGTAAATTAAAATTCCGTGTAATGCATAATTGAATTGTCACTAGCCTAAGTAACTGAAAGCTAACTATATCCCATTTTAGTTTCTTTCTTTTTTTTTTTTTCTCACGTTTTGGCCACTTGAAAAAATGAGATTTGAGGATCTGTATACCGGCACGTCATTAATGGAATTAATGTTTCATTGAATGTTTTCTACAGGGCTTATTTTATAAAGATGCCCAGATATTTTACAACTTTTAAAAAATTTTATCTTACAAAATATTACATATTTTCCTTTTGTTTGTATACTGTGGCCTAACATTCATTTAAAACGTTTTTTTTTTAATTGATTTTTGTAGAGGGGGAGAAGAAGGGAGAGGGAGAGAGAAACATTCATGAGAGAGAGAAGCATCAACATCAATTGGCTGCCTGCTGCATGCCCCCTAACAGTGATCCAGCCCACAACCTGGGCATGTACCCTGAATGGGAATTGAACCAGCAATCTTTTGGTGCATAGGTGGATGCTCAGCCACTGAGCCACACCAGCCAGGCCTAACTCATTCATTTTTAAAACATTTTTATTGATTGATTTTAGAGAGAGGACGGGGAAGAGTGAGAGAGAAACATCAATTTATTGTTCCACGTATTTATGCAACTCATTGCTTGATTCTTGTAGGTACCCTGACCAGGGATCAAACTGGCACCTTGGCATTACTGGGAAAGAAGATGCTCCAATCAATTGTGCTACCCGACCAGAGCTAACTCATTAATTTTTTATGACTAGGAGAAAACTCAAGAGAACAAGAACCATTCCCTATTTACAGATAGGAAAATGAAACATAAGTATGATGACACGGAGCCACACAACAGCTAAAGGCAGAAAAGATGAAATGACCCAAATTCAACCCCTGAGGATTCAAAGATTTCCTCTTATTGGGTCTAAAACTGCCCCTGGTACTGAGTAAGACATCAAGTGTAAATGTATGTGACCCCCAGCTCAATCCTCTCTACCTTCCCTTTCATCAAGCTCTAGTAGAATCTTCCCTCTTGTTCGCACTCACCTAGCCCTGTCCAGATTTTCTGCCTTCACAAAAGCAGTCAACCTGTTCTGAGAATGCCCTGTCTTCTTCACTTTTATTTAAAGCCTTTATGTCCAGCTGGTGTGGCTCAGTGGTTGAGCATCGACCCATGCACCAAGAGGTCACCAGTTTGATTCCCGGTCAGGGCACATGGCCAGGTGGTGGGCCCAGTCCTCAGTGTAGGGAACATAGGAGGCGGCCAATCAGTGTTCTCTCTCATCGATGTTTCTCTCCCTCTCCCTGTTTCTATCTTTCTCTCCCTCTCTCTCTAAAAATCAATAAATTAAATAAATAAAGCCTTTATAACCATCAGGAAGCAATTATAGTTCCACCCAGATTGCTAAACAAATTTGTGTTTTTTTAAATATCTGTGTTAATTAAATTCTCAGTTACTTATATCTTGTCTCCTTATTCCTTGAACATATACTTTAACATTTGATGATGAAGGGGAAGACCAAAATGGCTCCCATCAAAAAAGGTTATGACTACTCTGGCTGGTGTGGCTCAGTTGGTAAGAGCATTGTCCCATACACCAGAAGGTGGCGGGTTCAATTCCCCATCAGGGCACATACCCAGGTTTTGGGTTTGATCTCTAGTCGGGGTGTGTGCAGGAGGCAACTGATAGATGTTTCTCTCTTCCTCTTTTCCTCTAAGATTTTTTTTAAAGATCATGATTAAAGTCTATTTATACCAAATTTAAGTTAATTAAGTGGGCTCAGGCAAAATAAAATTAAGGTTAGAAACAAGGGCTTTAAACTAAGTCAGCCTGCTTTCAAATCTGAGATCTAGCACCCACTAGTTATGTGATATTCGTTAGGTTATTAACCTTTCTAAGCTTTAGACTCTGAATGGAGATAATAATAGCACCTACCTCATAGGGCTGTTGTAAGGAGCAGATAAAATTCTGCATGTAGAAAGCAGAATTGTGGGCATAGCTTAGCACAGAGTAAACTTATAAATATTAGCTAGATGACAGTCATGCTGATGGTGATTATAACAATGATGATGCAAAGGAAGAATTTTTAATGTTCCTGCACCTTGGAGATTCCAAAGGTGAAATTTAGGATAAATAGTTTGTTTTTAATCATCTTGGGAGAGAATATGATTCAAAATAGTTGTATATATTAAATCAAATTCAACCTTTTTCACTTTCTCTAGATCTTTGTAGGCCTAAATATTTAATTAGAGCAAAGTGATTAACATTTAATATGTTTGCTTTATGGTGGGGGCTTCACAGCTGGAAGTTAGAAAACATGGACCTTTCTTGGCAAAGAGCTTTTATTTACTTAAAACTGCTTTAAAAGATAATTATTAAACATTCAAGTATGTTATGTGTTAAAAGTTACTTTTCCAGTGTAGGGAACTTGATGGTTTGATTCATCAAAATGTAGTTTAAAAATAAAAGCAAGCAATATTTGTGTTAACTCAAAGAATCTAACAAAGTACCAGAAAAAGCATGCTAATTATTAAATGACAAGTGCTTTTGGAAAGATAAGGGCTATAATAATGCTAACAATTCTCTGGAAAGGAAAGACTGTCGATGTTAATTTGAACAATAGCCAAACAAATCCTTAGGTGGTTTCCATATTCTACCTGCTATGGATAAAATTACGCCATTGTCAAAGGAATGACTTCAGCAATTTCTGTAATCACAGAAGTTTAGAACTGAGTTTGAAAGGGATGCCTGTATACTATTTTTTAAAGTACCTCTGAGCCTACTTGATACATTTATATAAGTAGGTCTGTACTTTAAGTCCTCACTTAATGTCATGGAACTGCAACAAAACTACTGCAAAACGTAACCAATTTTACCATAGGCTGAAAGAGTTATGTTTCTACAGCATCTCATCAACATTGTAACAAAACAAGGTTGACCGAAACAAGCCCATTCCAGGACCTGCTGTATAGCATTCTCTATAATCTATTTGCAATTAATCAAATAAAAATCAATTGGGCCTGCATCTCTTATTTCTCTTAAAAAACAACAACAATTACTGAATTATTTAAGTTTGAAGTTTCATTTCCAGTGAGGATATTTTTTCCATATATCTTCAGACAGAGTGGGAGGAAAAGAGAGAAACATCGAGGTGAAAAAAACCACGTCGTCTGGTTGCCTCCTGCACCACTTCAACCAGGGCCAGGACTGAACAGCAACTGAGGTCCGTGCCCTTGACCATAATCAAGCCAGTTACTCTTCAGTCCTCGGGCCAATGCTCCAACCACTGAGCCAAACTGGCCAGGGCTATTTTAGTCTCTCTTTCTTTGGTGAAATCAAAGGGGAGATTTTTGAGAAATCCAACTGCAATATGCTTCTTTCTAGACCTTAAAATGTTTTCAATTACCTCAACAGTTTAAGATTTAGAAAAATTTTAATTTCACATTATTTCACGTGTGTGGAATATATGTGCAAATCCGCTACAAACAGTAAGATATGAAAGTCTAACTTTAAAAAGACTAAAGCCTCCATTTGAAGTTGTAATAATTGTGGTAGTGGTGACAGACCAGATATGGAAATCCAGTGTCAACTTCAGAATGGTCAGGGACTCTATGTAGTCAAGTCAACTGGTTCTTGTCCTTGATAACATGTGACACTTGTTTCAAGTTTATAAATCTCTTTTAGTCAACTTTCAGTTTCCTCAGCAAGGTTGGAGAAAGTGTTTTTATTATCCAGTAAAGTATATTTAAATTCACTACCAGCTCATTTTAAAAATAAAAATAATCTAGATTTATTTTTTAAATTTTACACATTCAATACTGACAATTTGAGTTAAAATAATATTTATTGACGGTTCTGTACAGAAAGATTTTATAGTTCCTGGTATTCGTGGATAGGTAAAAACAAAAGGAGTAACTTAGAATGTATAAAAGCTTACAGGAAGCCTGGAGACTGTTATAAAATATCTTATTAGAAGATTAGGAAAATCTATGCCTCAGACCAAAAAGACTAGACATGTGAACAAAACTCTGAGAGAGAGAGAATAGGAAGGGTGTCATATGTCTGGGAGTTGGTAAGGGGATCGTCTGCCATCTTTTAAAAAGTAAAATAAAATTGCTGATGTAGATTTGAAAAGCCACAAAGTGCATCTAGGTAAAAGGGGAAAAAATGCTCAAAAAAGATTTTGTGAAACTTCTTGCTAGGCACTAAACGATGATAATGAAAACATTTGTTTTATTGTATATCTCATTTGTTGTTTGATAGTATACAGGCTTTCTTTTCTGTATTTGTTTAGTCTCTACAACTAAATTATAAATGTAGTGAGGGCAGAAACCATCCTTTCATTGAACATAAAGGCTAAGTGTTAAAAATGGGTTCAGCTAAAAGAGGCAAAAGAGACATCGTGATAGCAGCCAACACTGAGCATCAAAAATGTACGAGGCATTTTTCTAAGCACTTTATATGGATCCTCATCTAAATCCTATGACATGGACTGTTTTACTATCTTAACTGGTTCACAGGTAAATAACAGAAGAAGTTTTCCCAAGGCTACATAGCTAGGTGACAGACCTGCCTCCTACCCACCATGCTGTTCTGCTCTTCTAAGGAACACAAAATGAGTTTAAGGGATTTAACAAGGTATTCTACGATCAGGTCTAACTGAGGGTATCATTCACAAGGACAAGGTTCAAAGGAAGCTGAAGTCAGGGAAGGCTCCATGGAGGATATAGAACTTAACATGGATCTTAAAGGTTGAGTAAGAGGTAAATAGGTAGAAAGGAGAGAGAGAATGGGGTGAGTAACATCAGGGATTGAAGCAAAAGATGTGTTGTATTAATGTTCTTTGTATTCACCAATACATGGAAAATGAATGAATAAAAGTTTCTTTAGTTAAACCAAGATATGGAAACAATCTAAATATCCATGGATGGATGTATAGATAAAGAATTTGTGGTATGGCCCTGGTCAGTGTTGTTCAGTGGTTAGAGCACTGGCCTACGCACCCAAGGGTTGCAGATTTGATTCCCCAGCCCTGGTCAGGGTACGTACTGGAGGCAACCAATCAATGTGTCTCTCTTATATCAATGTTCCGATGTTTCTCTCTCTTTCTCACTCCCTCCCTTCCACTCTCCCTAAAAATTGATAGAAAAGCTTTGGTGGCCCTGGCCGGTTTGGCTCAGCGGTTAGAGCATCGGCCTGCGGTCCTGAGAGACCCGGGTTCGGTTCCCGCTAGGGGCATGTACCTCGGTTGCAGTTTGTCCCCGGCCCTGGTCGGTTGTGCGGGTGGCAGCCACTCGATGTGTCCCTTCATATCGATGTTTCTCTCTCTCTGTTCCTCTCTCTCCCTCCCACTCTACCTGAACAAAAAATGGAAAAATGTCCTCGGGTGAGGATAAAAAAAAAAGAAAAGAAAAGAAAAGCTTTGGTGGGTTTGGCTCAGTGGTTGGAGCATTGGCCTGCGGACCAGAGAGTACGGGGTTTGGTTCCCGCTAGGGGCACGTACCAAAAAAAAAAAAGATGGAAAAAATATCCTTAGGCGAGGATTAACAACAACAACAACAAGAATGTGTGGTATGGCCCTGGCCGGTTTGGCTCAGCGGTTGGAGCGTCGGCCAGCGGTACAGAGAGACCCGGGTTCGGTTCCCGCTAGGGGCACGTACCTCAGTTGCAGTTTGTCCCCGGCCCTGGTTGGTCGTGAGGGTGGCAGCCACTCAATGTGTCCCTTCACATCGATGTTTCTCTCTCTCTCTCCCTCCTGCTCTATCTGAACAAAAAATGGAAAAATGTCCTCAGGTGAAGATAAAAAAAAAAAAGAATGTGTGGTATGTATAACAAATAAAATATTGGCCGGCTGGTGTGGCTCAGTAGTGGAGCATCGACCCATGCACCAAGAGGTCATTGGTCAGGGCACATGTCCAGGTTGTGGGCCTGATCCCCAGTGTGGGCATGCAGGAGGTAGCCAGTCGATGTTCTCACTCATCAATGTTTCTATCTCTCTCTCCCTTTCCTTTCTTCTCTCTCTAAAAATAATCAATAAAGAAAAAAAATATTATGCCACCATAAAAAAAGAAGGAACTCTTACCATTTGCAGCAAAATGGATGAATCTTGAGAAAATTATGCTAAGTGAAATAAGTCAGAGAAAATACTGTATGATCTCACTTATATGTAGAATCTAAAAACCACAAGTCAAACTCAGGAAAAGAGATCATCAGAATTGTGGTTACCAGAGACAGGGGGAGAGGGAATTGGATAAAAGTGGTCAAGAGATACAATTATAAGATAAGTAAGTACTGGGGATGTAATGTGCAACATGATGACTATAGTTAACACTGCTGTAAGTTGTTAAGAATGTAGATCCTAAGAGGTCTCATTATAAAACATATATATTTTGTATCTATATGAGATGATGGATGCTAACTAAACGCTATGATAATCATTTCACAATACATGTAAGTCAAATCATTGTTATATACCTTAATAAATGTTGTATGTCAATTACCTGTCAATAAAACAAGGGAAACAATGTTTATTTATTTATTTATGTTTGTTTGTTTTTTCTTTTTAAAAAATGTTTCTTGTCCTGCCAGTGTGGCCCAGTGGTTGAGCATCAACCCATGCACCAAGAGGTTGCTGATTCGATTCCCAGTCAGGGCACATGCCCAGGTTGTGGGTCAAATCCCCAGTGGGGGTGTACAGGAGGCGGCCCATAGATGTTCTTTCTCATTGATGTTTCTATCTCTCTCCCTCTCCTTTTCTCTCTCTAAAATCAATAAAGAAAAAAATTTTTTTGTTAAATGTTTCTTTAAAGAAATCAGAACCAGAGAGAGAAATCAGTAGGACCTTCTGATGTCATGATGCAAAAGGTGAAGGAAAGACATGAAAAAGATTTTATTTGTCTTCATTGGAGAAGAAACTAGGCAGGTTCTCTATTCAAGTCATCTCTTAAAGCTTATGGTTTAGGAAGAGTAGCTTAACACATAGGGTGTTCAAGATCCAAATAATAGTCCTGCCTGTGTGGTTTAGTTGATTAAGCATCGTCCCATGCACCAAAAGGTCACTCGTTTGATTCCCTATCAGGGCACATACCCAGGAGGTTTCAGGTTAGATCCCTGGTTGGGGTGCACATGGGAGGCAACTGATTGATGTTTCTCTCTCGCATCAATGTTTCTCTCTTCCTCTCCCTTCCTCTCTCTCTAAAATCAATAAAAATATATATTTTAAAATGAAAGACCCAAATGACAAAAACATGCATTAATATGATTAGATAAAATCCACTCAGTAATTTGGAAAACCTTGTATTTTCAACATATGCTTCCTCTTTCCAACTTTGTTTTAGTTCTCTTTTTAGGTTGGGTGCTGCTGCTGCTAAAACAAACATTGACAGCTGACCACAGACAGAACGAGAACAGCCATATACAAATACGGAACCATTTTTTATGGCCTTTAATGTATAACTTAGTCAAAGATTCTTTGAATTTCTAAGCACAATTTGCTCACTCTGGACAACTAAAGAGCTGTGTTATCCTCTTTATAGAAAGTGTTACTTTTCCCTGGGTAGTTAAGCTTGCTTCTGTTTTCAGTGGTGCTATTTCATTAAAGAGACACCCACTCACTAGATGAGAATCAAATATATCATTGGCAGTCATCAGAGTTAGCTCTGAAGTCACTCTTATGAATGAAAGTTATGTTGGCAAATAGCCAGTCCTCCTGCGCAGGGCTGTATAGACAATACAGATCACATTCTTTAGCCCAAATTACTACATATCCCCAGTTCAGTCTAGCCTTCCACACCAACTCAAGGCTATTTGGACTTCTTGCAGCTTTCCCTGATCACTCCAGAAAATCGTTTTTAAACTCACAATTATTTCTACCAGCAAACTGACACCATACTATTCTTCTGTTGCCTAAGTGTTCACTGTCATCATGGCACCACCTTTAAGAGCAGCAAGCATTGAGTGTTTGCCATCAATGAGACCATGAGCTCTTCAAGTGCAGAGACTATATTGTAAAATTTTTAAGACTATATAGCTCCCTTTGGGAAGTACCACACAGATAATTTTTTAAATTATTGATTGATTGATTGATTGATTTTTAGAGAAAGAAGAAGGGAGAGGGAGAGAGAGATAGAAACATCGATGAGAGAGAACATCGACTGGCTGCCTCCTGCATGCCCCCCACTGGGGATTTGGCCCACAACCTGGGCATGTGCCCTGACCAGGAATCGAATTGGCGACCTGTTGGTGCATGGGTCGATGCTCAACCACTGAGTCACACTGGCCGGGCAACAGATAATTTTTTTTTTTAAACTGAGCTGAATTAAACTTAGGAAAAAAGATATCTAAGATCCTGTAAATGTCCCCTGCATTAATCTTTGCCCCTGCCAACTCTATTATAGTGAAAAAACAGGCGGCTGCTCTTAAAAATAAAGACTTTAGAGCAAAATTTTGCCTTTCTCAGAAAAGCACTTTTATAAATTAAGATTGCCAGGTTCCTAAGCCAGAGGCTTAGAGAAGTAGGTATAGTCTAATTTATAGAAATAATATCTGTGCTCGCCTTGGCAGCATATAGACTAAAACTGGAGCAACACAGAGAAGATTAGCATGGCCCCTGTGCAAGATGACACACAAATTCATGAAGTGTTTCATTTTTTAAAAATTCTCTCCCGAGGATATTTTTCCATTTATCTTCAGATAGAGTGTGAGGGAGAAAGAGAAAGAGAAACATTGATGTGAGAGAGACACATCGATTAGTTACCTCCTGCACAACCCCGACCAGGGCTGGGACTGAACTGAAACTGAGGTACATGCCCTTGACCAGAATCGAACCCGAGACTCTTTGGCCTAGGGCTGATGCTCTAACCACTGAGTACTCGCCAGGGCGAAGAATTTTATATTTTTTAAAAATAATAATAATACCTAATATTAATTGAGCATTATTATGTACTAAGCACTATTTTAATCACTTGTGTGCTATGTAATATGGCAATACATATTATATATGATAGATATTCATATGGCACATATGTTTATACTTTTTATTTAATCCCCTTAATTATTATTCTACTCAAGAAAGTAAATAACCTGGTGGGAATGCAGACTGGTGCAGCCACTATGGAAAACAATATGGTGTTACCTCAAAAAATTAAAAATTGAACTTCCATTTGACCCAGTGATCCCACTTCCAGGAATATACCCTAAGAAGCCTGAAACACCAATCAGAAAGAATATATGTACCCCCATGTTCGTAGCAGCACTATTTACAATAGCTAAGATCTGGAAACAGCCCAAGTGTCCATCAGTAGACAAATGGATAACAAAGCTGTGGTACATATACACAATGGAGTACTATGCAGCTGTAAGAAAGAAAGATCTCTTATCCTTTGAGATGACTTGGAGGGACCTGGAAACTATTATCCTAAGTGAAACAAGCCAAACAAAAAAAAGACAAATACCATATGATCTCACTTATTTATGGAATATAATGAACATAACAGTTTGAGGAATAGGGTAAACCCAGACACACGGAAGTAGGGTACAGACTGACAACCCTCAGAAGAGGGGGTGGTGGGGGGAGGGAAGAGATAAACCACAGAACTTATATGCATGTATGCATGACCAATGGACACAGACAACAAAGCTGGGGACGGGGCGGGGGGATGGGGAGGAGGGTGTCAATGGGGTAAAAAAGGAGAAACATCTGTAACAAAAAATAAAATAAAATAAACAAAAAAGAAAAAAAGAAAGTAAATAACTTGTCCAAGGTCTACAGGTGAGAGACGCACAAGCCCTAATTCATGAAACATACACTGATTAAGAAATGGACAATGTATGGAGTAGCTCTGTGTGTTAGAGGTCACACTTAGAGCACAGAGGACCATGAGCCAAATTCAATAAAATCAGGAAACAAGGTAATGAATGGAAAGACAATGGAGTTTGTGGATAATTTCCTTCAGTATTGTGCCCCAGAGAAATGAATGGGGATTGGAACAATATTAAAAGTTAATGATGTGGTCCTGGCCAGTTTGGCTCAGCGGTTAGAGCGTCGGCCCATGGACCAGGGAGTCCCAAGTTCGATTCCTGCTAAGGGCACGTACTTCGGTTGCAGTTCGTCCCCAACCCCAGTTGGGGCTGTACGGATGGCAACCAATTGATGTGTCTCTCTCACATCGATGTTTCTCTCTCTCTCTTCCTCCTTCTCTCCCTCCTGCTATGTCTGAAGATAACAAACAAACAAAAAAAGGTAATGACGTGACCTGACCAGGTAGGTCAGTTGGTTAAAGCGTTGTCCTGATAGGCCAAGGTTTTGGGTTCGATCCCCATCAGGGCACATACAAGAAGCAACTCATGAATGCATAGATAAGTGGAACAACAGCTAGATGTATCTTTCTCTCTCTCTTCCTTCCTCTCTCTCTCTAAAATTAATTTTTTAAAAAAAGTTAACGATGTGAGTGAATGCTGGCAAAAAGAAATGGCTACTGAAAATGAGAACTTCTGGCAGCTAAACATGTGGGGTAAGGGTTAGTCTTAGGGAGAGGGAGAGGTGAAGCTATGATCTTTATAGCACTGAGCCAAGAACCTCTTGTGTCTTGCATTGGTTTAACTAGTTCAGTCGACTGATCAATAAATATTTGCTGAGCAGTACTATGTTTAAGGTACTATGTTACGTACCACGGAGATACACGGAAGCAAAAGACGTGGTCCTGGTTTCTGCTTCAAGGTCGTTTTATCCTGATAAAACAAGATATATAGAATCATCAAGAATGAGCTAGACCTGGCTGGTTTGGCTCAGTGGCAGAGCGTCGGCCCGCGGACCAGAGAGTCGCAGGTTTGATTCCGGTCAAGGGCACATACCTCGGTTGCAGTTTGGTTCTGGCTCTGGTCGAGGTTGTGCAGGAGGCAACCAATAGATGTGTCCCTCTCACGTCGATGTCTCTCTCTCCCTCCTTCCCATTCTGTCTGAAAATAAATGGAAAAATAGCCTGGCCAGTGTGGCTCAGTGGTCGAGCGTCGACCCATGCACCAAGAGGTCACTGGTTCAATTCTTGGTCAGAGCACATGCCCCCCCAGGTTGTGGGCCCGATCCCCACTGGGGGGCATGCAGGAAGTGGCCAATCAATGTTCTATCTCATCAATGTTTCTTTCTCTCTCTCTCCCTTCCTCTCTCTCTCTAAAAATAAAGAAAAAAATATTTTTTAATAAAAATAAATAAATGGAAAAATATCCTCAGATGAGGATTTAAAAAAAAAAAAAAGAGTGAGCTGGAAGGAAACTTAAAGATCTTTTCATCTAATCTCTAGTTTTATAGATGACCAAAACCAAATCTCAGGGACAGGAAGTGACTTGACAAAGTTCCCATAGCGTTTTCAGATCAAGGAGAGAACCCAGAATTTACTGCCACCCTAGGCTTGTCCTATTTTCTTATATAGATATAATTAGTAATAAAGGTACTATTTGCCAAGTACCAAGTGTATGGTATAGGTAATGCATTGCTTCTTACCATAACATGTTTACAAAGTCAAGGTCTAAAAATGCTAAAACTTTTCTGGGGAATTTCAGGTGCATAGGGACTTTCCCGGTTGTCTCTTCAGCTGTTTTAGCTTAAAAACAGAAAATGGCCCCGCCTCTGCGCTCTCAGAGCACCTGTGTCACCTCAATCATACACGTCACATGTGATCCTGACATGTGCAGCTCGCTAGTTCTGAAAGTGTGTGGTCTCAGCAGCACCTGGAAACTCCTCGTTAGAAATGCAAATTCTTGGGCCCACTCCAGATCCACTGAATCAGAAACTCGGTGGGCCCCGTGATGTGTGTTTTAACAAGCCCTCCAGGTGACACTGATGTGCTTTTGAGCTTGAGAACCTCTGGCCTCCGGAAACGGCCCAGGAGCTCTCTCTGGAGCACCACCGCCCCTCCCTTCCCCAGGCAGGTCTCCCAAGCTCCAAGGGTCTTTCTTTTGCCTCTGGAACTTGTTTCCTGAACCCACTTCTTCTACGACTCACTTCTACCTCCGTGACTTGATTAAATAAACGTTCTTTTATTGTTTGAAACAGTAAGATAAAATAAATGACCTTCCAAAGAGAGCTCTTGAAGACAGGGACCATGCCCTCCAGCAGTTTTGTTTCCTTCCCTTAGTGCAAAACCTCGAACAGCGATGTTCATTAATGTTTCTGGAACAACTCTAGATGTGAGCGTGGTAAAGCAGAGCATCCCATTATCCAGCTCTCTTCGGGGAATGGCCAGCAGCGGCTGAATAGTCGTTTCCCTCACCCCAAAATTCATATGTTTAGGTCCTAATTCCCCACATTCCTCAGAATGTGTATTTGGAAAAAGGACCTTCAAAGAGGTCATTAAGATAAAATAAAGTCATATGAGTGGGCCCTAATCCTATATGACTGGTGTCCTTAAAAGAAAAAGAGGTTGGCCCTGGCTGGTTTGGCTCAGAAGTTAGAGCATCAACCCACAGACCAAAGAGTCTTGGGTTCAGTTCTGGTCAAGGGCACGTACCTCAGTTGTGGTTCGGTCCCCGGCCCTCGTTGGGGTGGTGTGGGAGGCAACCAGTCAATGTGTCCCTCTCACATGGATGTTTCTGTCTCTCTCCCCCTCCCTCCCACTCTACCTGAAGATAAATAGAAAAATATCCTGGGGTGAGGATTTAAAAAAAGAGAAAAGGAGCCCTGGCCGGTTTGGCTCAGCGGTTGGAGCATCAGCCTGCAGACCAGAGAGTCCCAGGTTCGGTTCCCGCTAGGGGCACGTACCAAAAAACAAAAGAAGAAAAAAGGAGGTTCAGCACACAGGCATAGAGGGCTGACCACATGAAGACTAAGAAGACTAAGGAGAGGTGGTCATCTGAAGTCAGGAAGAGAGGCTTCAGAAGAAACCAAATGTGTGGACGCCTTGATCTCAAACTTTTCGTCCCCAGAATTGTGAGAAAAATAAATTTCCATTGTGTAAGCCGCCGGACTGGGATGTTTGTTATGACAGTCCTAGCCAACAAATTTGCTATGTAAGAAATTTTACAAAAATACTGGCTCTTCAATCCAGGAACTCCCCATCCAAGCCTATGACACGGCAGTGCTATTTTTAGACGAAAAAGAAGCTACAACCATCTATAGATGTTAACCATTAAAGTATTTATTTAAGAAATTACCCTTTCATGTTCAATAAGAGCACAGATTTTGGAGTCAGACAGAGGTGGGTTTGAATCCTGACTCAGCCACTTAGAAGTTATGTAATCTCAGCCTCTACAGACTCAGTTTCCTTGTTTGTAATTTGGGGCTAATAATAGCTCCCTCCGAGACATCACTCAATAAGTAATTATTAGGCAAATATATCATAGGCACTCAGTATCTGGTGACTTAAATATGATAATTAACCAAATTATTCAGATTGGCCTTCTCTGGAAGATGGAATTACAGCATAATTTTACTAGAATGCTTTGATCAGTTCAACAAACAAAGTACCATCATGGCTTTTATTTTATTTATTTATTTATTCATTTATTTATTTATTTATTTAGGTACATGCCCTTAGCGGGAACCGAACCTGGGTCTCTCTGGTCCGCAGGCTGATGCTCCAACCGCTGAGCCAAACCGGCCAGGGCCCATGATGACTTTTAAAAAGACTTTATAAAATGACAGAATAGGTATTTTTTAG